CCTTCACTTCTGACTTGAATCATTTTTTTAAAATATTGTCAGCTTAATAAATTGATTAGTACATTTTCAGGAGACTTTGTTTATTTGAACAGAATGAAAGAAAAGAAGAAAAAAAGAGGAAAAAATAATGAAAGTAATGGAATGTTACTTTCTTTATTTGCTTCTTTTTTTTTCTTTTCTTCTTTTTTCACTTATTTATTTATTTTTTTACAAACATATAAGTTTGATATTTCAAGTCGAATTAAGATGTAAGAAAAGACAGTTTAATTCAGTTATAAAACTCAAAGCACCGTTTATTGATAAATATAAATTGGGAAGAGAAAGAGGCTAATTGAATTTATGTGGTTGACGAAAATATGAATCAAATTAGTTGCAAATTTGCAACATTTGTTGGCGAACATGTATATTTTTACTCCATTTCGGTCTTCCGGTCACTCGCCAAACAGAGTTCGAAACTTTTTTGATTCGGTCAAAGAACCGCTTTGGGAATAGGATTTAGTCTGATAACACTGGTCATGTGTAAAGGAAACTTTCTTGCGATGACTCCTCTGAAGGCTTTAAGTAGAAGTGTCTTACGTTTTGTTGCAATTTTTCGTTTCCGGTTTTTTATTCCGCTTGACACACTGCATCAAAAATACCTGATAACTATCAAATTTCAGTCAACGATCTATATTGAAATACTCGGCTTTGCAGCATTGTTAACAGAGGCAGTGCTAGGATTACCGCAACTGTTCAGAAACTGTAAACGACGCTCAACCAAAGGCATGAGGTTAGGTTTGGACATCGATGTGCCTTGTTTTTGCTGGCGCTTTTCTGTTCTATTCGTTTCTCAGAGTTTTAATTCCTATTCTAGCGCTTGTTTACAGCTGTGCAGTACTTATCCAACTGTTGCTGCAGTGTACGCAAAGATCGGTTGAAAATTATGACATGGGGCTTACTGATATATATATATATATATATATATATATATATATATAATTTTTCGATACTATTTTAAAATATTTTAAAATTTGTTTCTGAATTTTTTTTATTTTAGCCTTAAAATGGTGTTGGCGTGGTTTGTTGGTGATTGCGCTAAGTTTTTATATTTCGTAGCGCTCGAACAACCGGCTCAATTCTGGTGCTGTGCAATTCTTCAGGTAACAACTGATAATAACAAATATTGAAAAACATATTTAAGATTTGTAATAGCAATAATGGTAGCAACAAGAGAAGAAAAAAGGAAGATAAAAAGGAGGTAGGTAGCAAAAAGGAAAAAGTGATGGAACAATAATCAACGAAATAAGTGAAGAGGTATATTGTCATAAGTATACAAAGGTAAGGTTTGTTAAGGTATGTTAAATTGAATTTGAGAAAAGTAACAAGAATATAGGAAAGGGAAGGATCAAATAGAAAATAAAACAGAATGTTTAAATGGACGAAAGTTGTAATGGTTCTCAAGCTGAACAAGCAGCACAAAAAAGATTGGGTTAGTGTGGACAGGAGAACAAATTTACTAAAAGCATTGTCGAGTCAATCGTTTATTATGATTCTTTGATGACATAGGATTTTCTCACGCACATTATGGAAGCGATGCAAATAACAATTGTTTATTAATCCTGCATTTTTCCTTTTTTTTTTTCTTTTAAATAATTTTTTCTTTCTGTTTTTTTATTTTTTTGTTGGTTAGAAGTCAATTGATTAGAGTAACAGAAGGAGGATGAATAGTGTGTATGTGAAGTTGTATGTGGTTATGTTTTTTGCACTTGTGCTTCTTGTTTTTAAGTATTTATTCGTTTGTGTGTGTGTGTGTGTGTTTGTATGTACATATATATTGAGATGTACATCTGAAGACTGGTAAATTTTTGCAGCAAGACGTGAACAAAAGTAGGTTGGAGGAAAAAATCCAAGAAAACGGGAGGGTGGGGGGGGGAGGGGAGGGGAAAAAAAGAAGTTTTATTGAATTGGTTGGACAGTTAATTTTGATTAATGTAATAGTTTGGTTGAACTAAAGAGGAAAATTTTTGCTCAGTTTAGCTGCTGAAAGAAAAACAATGGATAAGATTTGACTTTTTTTGGTTTGCTCATTCTTTTAAAGATTTTCTTAATGTTTTTTCCTACTCAACTGAAGCGTGAAAAGAAGAATTGTTGTATTTGTTAGAGTTATTCTCTTTGTTCATCATTTTTTTTTTTTAATTTTTATTTACTTATTTATTTGTTCTTGTTTTTGTTTAATCAAATGTTATTATTGTTGTTGTTACTATTGTTTTATACATTCTAGTTGCAACATTATTGAAATGTACTAAAACATTTGGTTTAACAAATTTAAGTAGGTGGAACAACATCAGCAGTAACAGTCGTTTGTTATTCATTGCTGATGTTGCCGGTAGTGGTAATGGCGGTGGTAGTAGTATGGCTTATATGCGTAAAAAAAGTTGATTATTTGGACAGTAAATGCATGTATGTTGATTACAAAAAACTATTCATTGACTAAATGCTTACTTTTAGATAAGTATCGATGTCTTCATTTTGGTTCAAGTATGCTGGTACGGCAGAAGAAATACAGCAGATACCTATGCGCCTGGATTAACGGGACATTAATGTTACAAAAACGAAAGAAAAAGAAAAAAGAATTCTAGAAAAAGACAACATGGAAACAAGGATTCTGAGGAGGAAAAGAAAGGAAAGGAAAAAAGTTTTTCGTTAATGAAGAAAGGTGTTGTCAGAGTTATTTTAAGTTGACAGTATTGTTGTTATACAGCAGACGTTGTATCGTTGTTCAAAAAGAGAGAAAACATTGACTTGCGAAAAAAAAAAA